CTCCTAAGCATCACAAGGAAGGTGAGAGTCCCGCTCGCGGTAGGGCCCACGGTGCCGGTGGAAGGTCCCACCAAGGAAGAAGTGCAGGCCACCCACATTACCATGGAGGATCTACCGGCCAATTTCTTCTCGGGGAAAGAGGCCAAGAAGTTCTACGTGCTAGCGAGTGGCCAGCTCCAGGCGGTGGTAAGTGGGAAAAAGATGAGGGCTTTAGTGGACAATGGGTCCGAGTCTACGGTATGTAGGGACTCCATCGCGCGAGAGCTAGGCCTAGAGATAGATCGAGTGGTGTCAATGTCGATGGTGGTAGCGGATAACAAGCTGCAACCGCCGGAAGGGGTGTGTCATAGCCCCGTAATTGAGGTAGCTGGTGTGGAGGCCACGGTACCGATCTTTTCGGTAAAAGAATGTTCCTCTGAATTAATCCTCGGGAGGACTTGGCTAAGCGCGGTACATGCAACCACAGTTGATTTGCCGGATGGAAGTCAAACTCTCTCGATCCAAAGTCTGATGGAATCAGAGTGGTCTTTAAGACCGTGGACGCGCAAGATGAACGTAACCGGACCAGCCTTACTAGGCGCAAGGGTGGCCAGTCGAGGGTGTGTCGAGTCTGTCTAGAGGAAGTGCCATTGACGGATAGAGGACCAAAGGGGGACCAATTGGAGATCGAAAGCGTGGGAGATAGGATAGTAATTAACGGCATGGGGTACAAGAAGGAGGACGAGGAGGAGGAGTTCGGTGGGTGCGTCAGTTTGTCTTTTTTGGAGGGATCCCCCTAGCCGGCGGAGTTAAGAAGTACAAAATCGTGGTGGAAAAAGTGAAACCCGCCGCGGTCAGCCGGGATAGAACGGGGGAAGCTACAATATCGGAAGAGGAGATAGCCGGTATCATCAGGAAGATTAAAGAGACGGAGGGGCAAAGGATAACGACCGATAGACTGGCCAAAATGAATATAGGAGATGGGAATCTCACGGAGAAAGAAAAAGAGTTCATAGCAATGACTTTAAGGGGCTGCGATATGGTCATTGCCTTTGATGACTCGGAGAGAGGGAGAATCGACCCAAGGTACGCTGATCCTACCCGGATCCACACGGTCCCCCACGTCCCTTGGAAGGATAGGCCTCAATGGAAGTATGCTCAAAAGGAAAAAGAAGATATAGTGGTCTTCATCAAGGAAAAGATCAGGACGTTCGTCGCGGAACCTTGCGAGAGTGCCTACTCCAATAAGTAGTTCTTTCTAAGGAAGGGAGGTAGCAACAAACTAAGATGGATCCAGAACCTCCAGAGGACCAATGCAGTCACCATAAGAGACGTGGGGTCTATACCTGAGTCCGACTTGCTAGCGGAAGGGTCAGCGAGTCGCTCGATATACTCTATTTGCGATCTCTTCTCAGGGTACAACGAGATTCCCTTAGATTACAGGGACAGGCACATGACCGTCATGCATACACCCTTATGGCTGGTTCAAATGATGGTGGTACCGATGGGTTGGATGAATGGGGTAGCCGTGTTCCAAAGGGCCATGATCGCGGTCCTCAAGGAATTCATACCGGAGAAGGTAGAGGTCTTCCTGGATGATTTCCCGATAAAAGGGTCGATCGAGCAGGATGAGACAGAGGTTTTCCCGGGAGTTAGAAAGTTTGTGGCCGACCATATGAAATATGTCAGAGACGTCCTTGAGAAACTAGACGACGCGAACCTCACGGTAAGCGGGACTAAGAGTCGCTGGGGCGTATCTTCCATCAAGATATTAGGGTTCATTTGCGATAAAGAGGGGCGGAGGCCCGATCCCGAGAAACTAGTAAAGTTGATGACTTGGCCATCCCCACTCAAATCCATAACAGAGGTCCGGTAGTTTCTAGGGGTTGTGGGCTACTGACGAATCTTCATAAAAGCCTATGGAGAGAAGGCGGAACCCCTTAGAAGACTCCTCAGGAAATCGGAAAGATGGGTTTGGGGAGAAGAGCAAACAGCGGTCATGGAAGCCTTGAAGGGGGAATTCCGCGAAGGTGGAGAAGTCCTAGGGGTCCCGTTTTTTGAAGACGAAGAAGGTCGTCCATTTATAGTATCCACGGATGCTGGACCTCACTCAGTAGGGGGTCTCTTGTCGCAAAAGGATGGGGAAGGGAGAGAGAGACCGTTGCAATTCGAAAACCGGACCTTAAACCCCGCAAAGAGAAATTATAGTCAATTCAAGAAGGAAGTGTTGGGGGTACTGCATTGCCTAAAAGCCTTCCGTCACTACCTGTACGGACGGCGTTTTCTCCTAAGGGTGGACCCGACGGCAGTGGCCACGGTCCTCCAAAAGGATTTCTCATTGACGGATCCGACCATCGCATGTTGGATGATCCATATCAGGCTTTATGACTATAGGGTCGAGAGGATATCGGGGACCAAAAACCAGGTCGCCGATGGATTGTCACGGCTTCCCAAGGAGGACCTGCCTAGACTTAAGAAGGTAGAAGAGGTAATGGTCGAAGAGACGATAATGAAAGTCGCCGCAAATAGAGCGCAAATAGTTGGGGGCAGCCGAGGGGAAGAAGGAGGCCCAAGGACTTTTCTCGCGAATCTCTACGACGGAAAGTACCGACACATAGGACTGTACTTGGCCGGTAGGGAAACAGGGACTGAAAAGATCCAGCAAGAGGCGCAGGGATATTGCCTGCGGGAAGGCCACCTCTTCAAAAGACCCACCACATTCGCAATACCCATGAGGGTACTGTGCGATCCGGAGGAGAGAAAGACAGTCATAGAGGAGTTACATGATGGGGTCGTTGGAGGTCATAGGGGGATTAAAGGCACTTTCGATAAGGTCCGCAGGCTTTATTGGTGGGACGGGCAATACACTGAAGTGGAAAAGTACTGTTCGACCGGTGAAGCTTGCCAGAAGAGGGCGACGGTTCGATACAAAGAACCCTTAGTTCCGTCGCTTCCCACGGTTTCGGGCGAGAAGGTCCATATAGACTTGGTGACCATGTCAAAAGGGGTCGGCGGTCTTCGGTATATAATCAACGCCCGGGATGATCTCACCGGATTCATAGAAGCAAAGGCCATTAAGAGAAAAACGGCGGAGGAGGTGAGTGATTTTCTCCTTGAGTATATCGCGCGGTATGGGTGCGTCGGGAGGATAGTAATGGATAGGGGCGCTGAGTTCTTAAGCCAAGAGGTCAAAGGATTATTGGAGAAGGCGGGAATAGGGGCAGCCTATACGACCGCTTATCACCCCCAAAGCAATGCACCGGTAGAAAGGGGGCACCAGACGCTTGTAGACGCTCTAGCGAAATGGTGCAAAGGTCACCCGGAACAGTGGCCAAGATATTTGCGATACGCGGCTTGGGCCGATAATATCACGGTCAAATCCAGTACGGGGTACCCTCCATACACCCTTTGGTTCGGTAGGCATTGTCCCCTACCCATCGAGTTCCACATAGACACTTGGACGAGTTTCTCATGGAAAACCAACATGTCTAGGGATGAACTGTTGGAGGCGCGGATACGACAAATAGCCGAGAACTTGGATACCGGGGTAACCGCGGCCGGTGAGAACGTCGAGAGAGAGAGGGTGAAAGGNGGCCGGTGAGAACGTCGAGAGAGAGAGGGTGAAAGGGAAAGATAGGTGGGACAAAAATCTGCGGGTCCGAAAGGCGCCGATAGGGGTGAACGACCTAGTGCTGATGTACGATTCGTCGCTAGAAAAGACCTGGAGCCGAAAATTGGCAAACCGATGGATGGGACCATATAAGGTCCTAAAGAGATTGGATGGGGGGGCTTACATGCTCGCAGAATTAGATGGGAGTAGGTTATGGGACCCTATCGCCGGGGCTCGTCTCAAAATCTTCCAATCAAGGGGGACCCTGGGGGAGGAGCCGAAACTAAAAGGGAAGGAAGTGCTCGAAGCAGAACTGACCATCACTCATGAAAAGGGGGAGACCTCCAGACAAGGGGCCTCGCCTCGCCCAACCAGGAAAGGGTATAAGGTTCGGAAACCTCCACTACCAAAGACCCCTAGGAAGAAAAAAAGGCCTAGAGAAGAAGAAGGTAATGACGATCGGTTAGGGAAGCGCCGGCTAAGGGAGAGGCGGAGTGCCTCAGGGAAAGCCTTGAAAATCAAACGGGAAAGAGAAGAGAGGAAACAGAAGAGGGAGAGGCACGAGAAGAGGAAGAGAAAACGGAAACAGTCGTAGGATGATGCACCGTGAGTCGTGGTCCTAGGAAAGGAGATTGTATCATAGTTAGAGAAGGACGGGTGTCACACAACCAACGGGAAGGGTGTACCATAGATAAGGAAAAGTGAGTCGAGAAGGGGCGGTATGTTGCGACCCCGGAAGGGTTTTTGTACCTTGCAGAGGAGAAGAAGGCATAGTTAGGAAGAAACGGGCATCTAGGGGCATGGGTAACAAGAGGAACCGGGGGAAATGGGATGAGCTAAAATAAGGGGAGGGTATATACATTGGGAACTGCTCGCCGGGGACGGCGAGAAATGGGGTGTGGGCTGGTTTTCAGGCGGCTGGCTACCAGCCGAAGGGTTTTATTTTGAAATGAAGAACATTTTCCCTTTTTTTTTTATGGTTTTTGTGTGGTTTTGAAGTAAGCGCGAATGTGAGTATGTTCTTTATGGATGTCCTCGGGTATCCAGGCCTTCGTACTAACCCTGTCATGGGCCGGAGTGGAGGTTCGAACCATGATCGCGAGTGGGCACGTGCAGATTCTGAAGGATCGAGTGTTTTAATACCTAAGGCAAGAAATCAAGGGTCGGTGGCGAACTTCGGGACAAACCCTGGAAAAACTCGAGGAATTGGGACTTGAGAGGGACAAGTTTGACCACGAGGAACAGTCGGACTACTCCGGTCTCTCGCGGCCTGCTTCATACAGGGAGAAGGATGTTCAGGAGCCTGCGGAAACTCGCGATGGCCGCGCTACTAGGGGAGGGGGTTCCGTGACACCTAATCAAGAAGGCAACTGGCGCCGCGTCTTGGTAAAGACCGGAGGCAGGGGCGGCTCCCGTGTCGACAGCTTCCGAAGCCTGCCTGGACCGTGATCGCCGTAAGATAGAGCCGGCTCCCCGGCATTCGCCGATGCGACGGCGGTCAACTAGCCAGCGGGGAAATGAGATTGGTCGGCGGATGAATGGGATCAATCGGGGACGACGGGTGCATCCGCGGCTGGGTGCTGGAGGCGAGTCGGCACAAAGAGACACCGAAGGGGTCCTCGTGCTGCCAACTCCGTCCGGGGAGAGTGATGAGCATGCTCCCAGCAGCGGGTAGGTGACTTAACCGCCGGTGAAACGATGACGGGGAACGAGATTCAAGGCAATCAGAAGGACAAGCTACATAGATCATATTGAGCAATGGCCTGGGCCGCATCCTGCAGCCGGATGCACCCGGTCCAAAAGTACGGCTAGAGCCGTTGCTTCAGGCGGCAAGAACGCAGGCAGTTACAGCAAGGAAGGGGAAGCGTCAGCCAACCGATTGGCTGGCTGGGGAAGGTTTCAGATACGACGTTGGGGAGTGGTAGAAAAGAAGGAGAGGAGGATCAAAGGTTTGCTGGGTAGGTCCTGAGTAAGGGAGGGAAATTGAAGATAGTAGTGGGTGTCGGGAGGGAGAAAGGGAAATGAGTCGAACGGTTGCCGGCTAACGCTCGTGGCGACCAAGGAAGAGCACCAGTGGAATCGAAAGGTCGGAGATGCATCTAGTTCGGAAGATGGGCAGATGCGGACGCAAAAACAAGAATGAGACAACGAGAAGGGGAAGGGAATCGACCATCGAAGAAAAGTCTGAGAATTGAAGCTAAGAGGGGGCGCGCATCGCAGAATTGGCCAGCATCTGGGGCAGAGACTGGGCGGTGGAGAGGGCCCCTTGAGCAAGCCAGCTGGAGGACGCCGATTGACTGCCCAAGTGAACCGCCGAGGCGCGCGCGCCTCAGGGGTTCCTAACAACTGCACGCTAACGAACAGCCTGTAAGTCGGGTAAAGGGAGGGCACTGAAGCGTCGAACGATAGGAGCGTGGCTACCTATGGACCGAAGGNTGGGCGGTGGAGAGGGCCCCTTGAGCAAGCCAGCTGGAGGACGCCGATTGACTGCCCAAGTGAACCGCCGAGGCGCGCGCGCCTCAGGGGTTCCTAACAACTGCACGCTAACGAACAGCCTGTAAGTCGGGTAAAGGGAGGGCACTGAAGCGTCGAACGATAGGAGCGTGGCTACCTATGGACCGAAGGTTTGGGTGAGCACCTCTAAAACAAGGGAGGGCGCCGGAAGCGTGCTCAGTCGAAGTCGTGATGCAGATCGATCCCGCGAGTTGGAGGAAGAAAAGATCCCATTGGGGGAGAGACGAGAAGGCGGATGATGGGAGGGGGAAGGGAAAACGAAAGCGGGAAGAAAAGCGAAACTGGAAGCAGGAAGGAGGATGGTCGAAAAATTCGACTTTTTTTGTGCCTGGCGGACCGGAAGCCAAGCCACGGGCGGGGTTGGGGGAAGACCTGCGAGGAGAAAAGGGCGGGAAGACGACGCTAGTTGCGGCTTTGGAGGAAGCGTGGGGGGAGGTGTACGAATGGTGGAGATCCCGCCCAACGATCACAAACGATCCCGAGGAGGGAAGGAGGAGATCCTATTGGTGTTTGTGGGGGAAGGAGGATCGAGAACTAAGGGCGGGAGCAGAAAACAAAAACAGAAAAGGGATGGCGGGAAGAGAAAATTTTTGCCGAAAAATTTGTTCACCGCGCGCAGAAAGGTAGAGCGCGTGCTGCTGAAGGGAGGAGAAGAACGTATAAAAAGGAAGAGAGGGGGCAAAAAAGGAGGCTCGCAAGGGGATTCTTTCGGGAGGCGCACGTAGTGAGGTTGGCCTAGTGCACGAAGAGCGCGGTCCGCTCAGTGCAGGATTCGGCTACGATGTGCTCAGGAGGGAGAAGCCGCTCCAGGCGCTCGGGCGGACTAGAAAGTGGCTCACGCACCCGGCTGCGTTACGCTGTGCTCGGCTAAAGGAGAGAGAGAGAGAGAGAGAGAGAGAGAGAGAGAGAGAGAGAGAGAGAGAGAGAGAGTGAGAGAGTGAGAGAGAGAGGGAGAGAGGAACGCATGAGGAAGGCTCTTGGGTCAGACTCTGTGGTCGCGACTGACAGTCACCTTCGGGGCGCACGGAGGAGGTGTTCGGGACGCACGAAGATAGCGGACGGTGCACCGAAGAAGTTCGCTGGCGGAGATCATCAAGCGCACTGAGCTTCCGGGTGTTCGATAGCAGACGCACGAGGCGCACGGGTGCTCCAGCACTCCGTTTGGTTCCCAACAGTGTACTTGCGGACGAGCTCGCAGAGTCGCGAGCGAGAGAGAAGGGCGCACGGATGCACGAGCGCTCTATTCGCTCGCCACGGTAGACGTGCGGACGAGCTCGCTGAGTCGCGGGCGAGAGAGAAAGAGAGCACGGGGGTCCAGGGCGCTCTCGGGGGTGAGAGCTGCGAAGTCGCCCGGAAGAACGCACTAGGGAGGAACGGGCGTCCGAGAGAGCAAGCGCAAGTCGCGCGCGCACCAGGGAACGAATGGAGGAGACCGATCTCGGGACAGAGCCAAGCAACGAGGGTCGAAAGAGGGGAGGAGCTCGCGGGGCTGACCGGGGGGTGCGAAGGCGTTCGGGACGCTGCGAGAGGCTAACGATTGGGGCGCTGACGGGAGGTGGCTACCAAGGTAAGACAGGAGAGAGAAGGAGGGAGGGGGGCGCCGACGCGACTAGAGCAAGCGCATGGTAGCTCCGGCGAGGAAAGAGAGAGAGGGAGAGAGAGAGAGAGAGAGAGAGAG